GCCTCCATTTATACAGAAAGATTTTTATTTTTAACATGCCAGATTACTGTACTTATCTGCTCCTAGAAAATATGTACTGTATAAACATATCCTTTATCTTGAACTTCAGTATTGCTGTGCTTCCAAGAAGAGTAAAAACATCTGGTTAAATTACTACGTGCAAGTACAATATGCAGGCAAACCCCTGTATGAATTGCATATAAAATAAACCATGGCTTCAATCCTTTCTGTTTTTCCAAATGTTCAGTGTGACCAGTCTGTTGAAATCGCATCTCTGATACATGTGAGCACAATGAAAACTGATGTACCGAAGTGCTTCTTTTCTGAATAAAATCAAGTTCTGTTCCTGTTCTACACCTCCCGACGTTTTAAAGTTTAATTCTGTGATGTGTGTTCCCCCCCAACAAAGCCCCCCAAACCGGAACGGTACAAACTGTTGCACACCAGCGGTGATGGCTCCAAGGGACTGGCTGGACGGAGTTGTCATGTGTCTGCCTGTCTACACTTGCTGTGCAGAACATCCTCTCACCTGTACAGCAGGCACAGACAGGCAGTCGCATGACAACCCAGCCTGAGGGACAGTCGCCAGTGGGAAACCGCTCTGACACACCAGAGCATCTTCACCAACAGCTCCAGTCAAGAGTCACTCTGGATCCCAGACGGCCGGTCAGTAACCAAGCCGCGTACTGCAACCCACCTAGAGTCAAACCAACACTGCCTATAAAATACAATAAAACCCACTGCTGAAATTTTTACTGTGCTTCCTATAGTACTCTTTTCCTAGTTGTTCTCATTAACTCACTAACAGTAAGTTTTATTTATACGCAGCTTCGCGGCACCATTGTACGTTTTGTCCTCCCATTTACTTCTCAGGCATAACTCGAGCAACTCGCATTACTAGATTATTGTCGGTATTTTTTTTTAGCCACAGAAGCCGAGAGCAGCTTATTGTGTGGCAAGTTAATTCTGTAAGCACACACAATGTCAGACCTTAGAGTAACTTCTCCCCTTCCCACTCTCTCACCTTCTCACTGATTTTCCTATCTCCCTCCCAAATCACACAGAATTTTACAACTGGGAATAAATTGTGAAATTATAATACAAGCTGCATCTGTCACTGGATGTTGAGAATACTATCATTTCCTATTGAAACAGAAGGGAAATATTTTATTTGGAAATAGGGCTAAAGAGGATTTTTCCAATAAATGTAAATTTCACGTTTTTAGAAGTTCTTATCCTAAAGCCCAGTTTTGCATCCTTTGCACACTAATAATGCCAGCGAAATCTCTGGATGCTTTGGAAAGAGTAATAAAATCACATTCTCTGACCATGCCCGGTAAAAATACTACACCACTTTACAAATGGCATCCTTTTGTTTAACATAAAGAACTTTTTGATTCAGAAGCTAGGATGGCGTTCCACATTCCCAAAATCCATTTTATCCTAATGTAGAAGTGGCTAATTCACAAACTTCATATTTGCAGGTTAACTCTGAAATGAACCTTAGCACAAAATCTTATAGCTTTTTGTGCTACTTAATAAACCAGTAACAACTGAGAGCTAAGATGCTCAGGTTTAATCTTTAGTGTGTGTGTGTAGGTATGCCTTATAATACTTCAGCTAGTATTACATGGAATATTCTACAAAAGAAATGTGTATTTGTGAGGTCAATGAATGTACTAATCTTGCACTTATTTACAACAGCCTCAAAGTGGTACACAGTATTTTCCTTGCTTCATTTTAAGCAAGTGGAAAAGCACAGTCATGGTACTGGTCACGCACCAAAGTTATGAACGCAAGCAACTGTATGCAGGATCAGAAACTAATCCAGATTAGTATTCACATAACTGATACTCTGACTGCTTTAAGCACACTGTTCAAACATCAACTTGATATTTCCATAATTACAAGCCTAAAAAGCATTCTTAGGCACCGATTCCCATGTCATTAGGAATAAAATCCTGTTGCATATTTGAGCAGCAACAAAACCATGTCAAGAAACTGTTTATTTTGTAATACTGATATCATACAACAAATTTTGAAACCTTTTGCCGAAGTAACTTCCTTCAAAATGCATTCCACTGTGGCTTCTTCACTTATAAAAGCTGAAGCTCACAAGTAAAGGAAATAATTTAAATCCTTCTAATGGCACTAGCATGCAACCACTTGCATTCAGAGACTGATTTTCATCTCAGAGTAAATTCCAAACTACAGAAAATGGGCTCAGCTTACACTAGAGGGGGTACACAGCCCTAGAGGTCCTAGCAAGTACTGTAGCTTTGTAAAGTACATTGTCACAGCTCTCTGGTATGCAAGCTGCTACAACATCCCTTACTTAGGGGTAGGGGTGATGGGGGGAATAAACTCTTCACTATGGCAAGAGAAGAAAGGTGAGACCTGACTTTCTGCATCTTCCCCAGCTGCGATGGAGAGGCTCTTGCTACTGTGCAAGGACTGCAGAAGCAACCAGCCCGAGTGGGAGGCACGGGGGATCTGAACTCCCCGCGACCTCACAGCGTGCACAGCCGTACTGAGCCCGGGCACAGTCCGGACACATAAACATGGGTATCACTTCACACATCACTGAAGACTACATATCTTACCAGGGTGGAATACACCAGCATGCAGCCATCTATATATAATCATCATCAGAGAACAGGATGTGACAACTACCAAACCAAGCTGAAAGTGAGCAGAACATTTTAAGGAGACAAAATGCAATTATAAAAATTGGAACTCAGCCAGGAGATCAAATATTTGCTTCTTGATTTTCAAAACCAGTAGTTCTGTTTCTGAAATAAGTCGCTCGTCTTTTGACTAACCTAATGGTCAAACTGTGGCTTTGAACTTCTTCAGAAAGCATCTAAAACAGATCTTACTAATTTTTTAAGTCCTACTGAGAAAGGATCAGTAACAAAAACAAACCAAAACAAACAAAAATAACCCAACATAACTTCGTGAACTCCTTCCCAGGACAGAATAATCAAATTATACAGCAAATCTGTACTTAAGGAGGAACTTCTTCCACCAAAGCATGAAACAGTACTACGCTCTTATCTTGTTTTAGCACTCTAAGAAATTCCTGAGTGATCTCCCATATTGGTCTGAATGAACTACTAGTATTTTCATGACTCTTGGAACACAACTGTTTGGCAATTAAGAGACATTATTTTAAAATATGCATATGGAAATCAGACAGTGGCCTTTTCCCTCCATGTACTATTCTGAGATTCCCAGGTGACTCTCCCTAGCAGGCTACCAAAACAAGTGATTTATTTTTAAAAAAGTTGCATAGCAGAAGACATTCTGTAAGCATTTTCAGGAATTTTTATATTTCACACTAAACGAAGATCAGACTCAAAAAAGTGACACCAGAACTCCCTAAAAAAATTGCCACTGCACATCTTGGATGCATCTTCAATTGCCTGAGACAGAAGACAGCAAGTGGTGTTAAATCTCATTACTTCTTTTATTTACAGTTACCTAAAGCCGCTTCTGCCTTTTTAATTAATTTTTATGTCATTGCAATGAAATATTTCAAATTATATTTCAGTAATCTGAGAATAAAACTTACCCTCTTGACACTTAGCAATTGGCTCCTCCCTTCCATCTGACAAGCACTCATTTTCCTGTTCCAGTAAATACATTTGAATCCCTTTAAAACTTAAATAAAAGGGCAAGGGGCAAAATCTTCAAGGCTAACCTGATTTGTCCCTCAATCTTAAAGTCTGTCCCAAAATGGCTACTGACTCAGGAAAAAACCACTACTGACCAGCACAGCTTCCACCATCAGCAGTATTACTGAAGTAACTACCTGTGATAAATACCACATTCTGGATTCACAGGACTCTGCAGAGCTCCAGCTTATGTACACGTATTGCAGGACCTCTCCCCAGTGGTTCTAGAAAATCCACTGCAGTAAAACACTAAGTTAGTTTAAACAGAATATTAATTGTCTGCACAGTCCCCATCAACCCACTCCCTGTTTTGTTGGGGTAAGCCACTGTTTTGATTATTACTTACAATAAGATGGAAAGATTCAGTGATGTTTTAGAGGTCATTTAAAACTTTTTTGTTACTTGTGTCTCTTCCATCCAATGAACTGGTTCACCCTAAAAATCACTAAATTTTTGCTGAAAACCTTTAACAAAAAAAAAAAAAAAGCCACCAGAAAATAATAGTGGGGTTTTTTTAACGTAGCCCAATTTTTCTATAAAAACAAACACAATCCTTAAAAAAACACAAGGGCTTTACTATAAAGCTTATAGTTCACATAATAATCCCATTTTAACAAGACTGTTGGAGTTTTGGATAGAGCATATCATTAGCAACATTGTTGAACAAATAATTAAACAGAACAGACGAGATGCCTAACAACATATTCAATAAAGTGAGCAACCTGGATGCCCTGCTTATCATAGAAATGCTTTTTCTAGTTCTCATATTACTCACCTCAGATTTACCATCAGCAGCAACATTTCTCACCAAGGTGCATTTTTTGTCAAATTTGAAAATCCATACAAACCAGCTATAGAACTCTGCAGACAGGCTTTTCATCCTCTCAGAATATGAGGCCAGAGAACAACTGTTATCATTAAATCGATTGCTGTAGTTACTTTTAGGAGTAACTTTACCCAGACAATTTATGATCAGCTTACAGTAGATGTGCAAGAGTAGTCCAAACAGGCATAGAATTCCAAAACAGGCTTTTTTTTTTTAAAGACCAATGTGTGGAAACCACAGGAAGAGATGAAAAAAGTAAAATAAAAAACAAACAAAAACATCCCACACAACACCCTGTATTTGTTATCAACGTTTCAGCAGAAGTCTCAGAGGGTCAGCATTCCCCATGAATCAAACCCAGAAAATTTAAAGAACACAGGTAAAACCTTAAAACATTCTTTCAGTTCAAGTCTGTACATTTTTTAAGCTGGTATCAGAAGACTGAATAAGTAATGTTTTTTTTCCCCTAGTAGAAAAAAAAGTTATTTGTGCCTTACCTCATCATCTTTATACCAGGACAAGCTTTCTGCAGTTAGAACGAACCAGTATTCCTTGGATCCTCCTTTCATGATGCCAATATTGTTGATGGTCAGCCAGCCTTTCCGGATGACCTGTGCAGAGGTGCAGTCAGGCACAAGTTGAGTTCATTACTCACTTGACATAATTCTGCTGCTGCATTCATTCTTTTAAATAAAAACTTGCTAAATAAAACAAGAACAAGTGCATTTTTTGAGTCTCTGGCAAATTCAATAGTTTCTGCAGGTTCCTATCATTCAAGAAAAACAAAACCAAAGTAAATACAGTGTTTTCAGTCAAAAAGTTGTAGAAAGAGAGAAGCCCAAGTATTATCATGTTGTACTTACAGCAAGGATGAGTGCATTAAGGATCATGTAAATGTGAAGATATTTATTTGCTCTATAATAACACATTGTAAAGGTCCATACAACTTTATATACCACTACTCTGTTCTAGTGTAATTGTTATGGTCATTTGTAAAGTTGGATACTAGGAGAAATGCACCTAGATTCTGGCAAAGCGAATAGCTTATGGCATGCATTGGGAATTTTCAGAAAGGGTCGAATAAAGTGACAAAGTGGAGAGGTGTTCTACTGTTAATTTGACATTAAGATAGGAAGTGGTAAGGAGAAGTATATGAGAGCTATTTTCCTCTCATATGGTAGAAGAGGAAAGGAAAAGAGGGGAAAAAAAAAAAACACACACTAAGGCGGCAATAAAAATCGGGTTGAAAACAGGTAAAGCACAACTTTGTAACATAGATACAAGCCAAAGATGAAAGACCAGATGGGAACAGCATACCTATAAATACTAAGGGCAAGCAGCTATATCATGCAAAGTGAAATAAGGACAAAAGAAAACTTAAGAGGAATGAGACAACTCCAGAGGTAAAGAAGAGAGAATGGTCATGAGAACTGGTTTAGGGATCATACAGAAACTTCCAATCTATTGGAACATTTTTTGTTTTCCAATATATACATGAGAAAGCAAACCTTCTGTCCTATCATACTCTAAACAAGACAACAGAATCACACAGATGCAGGGAACCTCAGCCATTCTGTTTCTCCTCGCAGGAACACCCTTTACTTGCCTATGAAGTATTGAGATGGAAAGAAGTGCTCAGATAAGCCCTTCAGAACTCCCTCACCAAGTCCCACACACACAGACTTGTGTGATCAAACATTAGTTTCTTCTTGCTTTTAGAGAGAGATACGAGACTGCGACATTCCTCTCATAGGGCTTTACAAGACTTCTAACTCCAATATCAACAAATAACCAGAGAAAAACATTGCTCAATATCTATTCCTTGCCATCTACAAAAGTTTCAGAATTGGAATTCACTCCCATTCAGCATGCGTGTTCATGTAGGCTCCCTAAAAAACCAGCTTTGGTATTGCACAGAGCAAGGGACTAAGTTATATTTGATAACTAAACCAAAGAAAGAGGTCAGAAGTTGTACCTGAAAAGATGGTAAAAGCATTGGTAATGCACGTAATCCAAAAGCATCAATTTCACTTCACATAAGATGATCACGTTTTCCCACTCACTACCAAGGAGGCCAGCAGTGTAAGAAAACCACTGAAAATCCAAAAACAGTCTACGGGTTTTCAGCCTTTAAGAAAATCACTGAGAAAGCATGGATTTGGTTCTGAAGACTCAGTAAGCTATGAGGGAACTGGACATGACTCCCATAGAGAGACTCAAGCATATAGCACGAGTAGACTGGATGGAATAGCCGGTACCACAAAGGCTTCTGCAGAAGTTTGTCATTATTTTTAATATTCATCTTCATGGAGCGGAAAAAAGAAAACAAAAAAGTGGAGAGGGGGCCTTACTGAGTACAAATAGACATGGAACGCTCGTCCGAGTGCAAGTTAAGGGAAACATACTGATATGAACTTGGTTACCCATCAAATCCTCATTTTATTTTACAATGTTTATTGAAGTAAACTTTTACCAGGAAACGGGCAACATGCCTATATAGCCAGCATACTGGCCTTCAGGCAGCTGCCACAGAACAAGTCGTGGAACCAAGAGAATTTCATTTTTTTCTGTGCTGACCTACACAAATGCAAATGGAAGAAATTTTAGGAAAAATCCAGGAAATTAAGGTTCCCCACCACTTGAACTTAGCTCCACACCAAGGTGAGCTACATTTGTACAGCAGACTAAATACTTCACAGAAAATGTGCAAAGGTGGTTGTTCTCCTGTTATAAAGAAACTGAAATAAGAGGCTATAAGAGAGGATGCTGTTGAACCACGCTGTCTGCAATTGAAAATGCTGTGTTACTCCCTATAAAGCACATATCCACATACAGGAAGCACAGGCAGCCGGGCCAGCACACCACTGAAAATTGGTTTGGACACACATCTTAGAGAGGGTAAAGACTGGAAGACAGATGTCACAGTGGGGATGATGAGGGGGTTTCTACAAGCAAACCATAAGAAACATCTGAGTAGCATGTTCAAGAACCTTACCAGTGATGAGCACTTAAAAGGGAATGGAAGTAGCACTCTCCACCTATTTCATTCAGTGCCTTCCCTCATCATTACCGTAGGTTTTACAGGATGTTAATAAGAGTCAAATTTTCTCAATTTGACAAGAACGCATTTGTGGTAGAAGTCTCAGAACAGACCAAGCCAGGATTTTAAAATCTAAACTATACAAGCCATTTAAGAAGTAACAAAGCTTTTAATACTTCTAATGTAGGAAGTACATTAGTTGCATAGCTCCAAAAGACTGTCTTGCTCCAGTTCAACGCATCTCCCCATAGATGCATAATCATCACTGGGTGTGCACAGAAACGAGCTGACTTGCCAATACAAACACTGGTCACTGTCTCGTAAAGGAAGGAATTTGCCAGTTGTTTCCTCAAAAATCCTGTGTGCTGAGGATTAGATCCAGCTGTCATTCCCACACACCACCGCATGAAAGGCAAGGCACCAAGCTATAGCAATATCTTGGGTATGTGTTTTTCATCATGTGCAAACTTCTAGACCTGTTTATCTATACACCTCTGGGAAAACAGGGTACTGTGTTCTCTAAAATATCCTGGACACTACAACAGATCATAATTATCAAAAATACTCGGAAGCAGTTCCAGGGGACACCAAGAGAGAGAAGATGAGGTTAGTGTGCTAAGCCTCATGTTCTTTTCATTGAATTGTTCCCGTTTCCCAAGCACATTTTGTTAACTACAAAAAGCTACACTTTCAAAATACTCAGTATCAGTGTTGGGGTCGGGGGAGGGAGATGTCAGATCAAGGTGTAAATACAAAACAAAGTGAGATTAAGCAACATAGTTTTACTTTCCAGATAAGTCGAATTACACCTTAGACTCTGGCCAATTTCTCAAAAAATAACTCAAGCTACATTTTAGAAATAAGTGTCCTTCCATGGGCAATAAGCAGCAAAGATGTTCAAAGAGACATCTGAAGTTAAAAAAAAGTTGGGGGGGGGGGGGGGGTGGGAAAAAGAGAGAATGGGGGGGGGGGGGGGGGGTGTTAGGGGTTTTTTTTAAACTATTGTATTAGCTATGTTGTATAGTACTTCAGCTTGAAAAATGAAAGTAGTGTGTTTCATTATTGTTTTCACTAGTTTGTTTTCTGGTTGGTTTGGATTTAAGAGATCCATTTCAATATTTTCTATCGTATTTCTAAATGTCACTCTGTGCAAACCGGATATTAGTGACATGAGTTATGAACTTCAGGAAGGTGAAAAATATGGGCATTGCCAGAAGTCAGTGAAGACAATATTCTGACCGGTAGTTGGACTCCATGTACAGGATGAACAAGAGATGACACAGTTCCTTCCTTCAGGGTCCTGATACCTAATCTGAGTGTTTGAAAAATGAAACTTAGAGGGTACAAATGCACATGAACAAACCAGAAGGAAGTAATTTTCTGATAGTTCAGCTGCACAAAATCCAAATCATATCTGTTGTTCTTATTCTCCACCACTTCACGAACAAACAGGAAAGCAGGATTTGACACAATAAGTACATTTTACATATTGCCGCATGACTTATTAATTCCATTAAATCAAACAAGGTATTTGTAAAATAAATACATTAGAGAATCAGAACACGTTCCAATTCTTTAAAAGAAGTATTTGGAAGATGATTTCAAGATAAATGAGAGAGAAGTGAAATTGACTGGGCAGACAGAAAAACAAGTGTGAAAATCATGAGACTGGCTACTTCCACAACAATACAAGCAGCAGCATTTGTTAACCTAACTCTCTATTAAAGTTGTGTTACATATGTCCATTGAAATAATTTTGAACATACAATTCCCAGCACTACTCTATCTTCCAGTCGCTGTCATAACAATACGTGTTACCAAACAGTAAGCACATTGAGAGAATAAAAATTGCAAAAACTACTCTGTGAGGCATCCTTACAAGCTATTGGTTCTTTGGGTTCAATTATGAAGATTCTTGCACTACAGAGGCTAAAAAGAAACAACAGATTAGAGGGGAAAGCTAATACAGTATTTCACTGTAATTTGCCAAATGTCAGAGTGTAAACTGATCAGATCTGTTCCGATACCAAACACAAACAAGATCTTGTGACATTGCTTCCCCAAAAGTCACAATATAACACATAACTTAAAAATAATGACAGTGGCTTAAGTCATAAACACACGTCTACTTTAATGAAAAATTTAGTCTTTACTGAAGCAAAGCACTCAGTAGTGAAAAATTCAAACATGCTTCCAAATGCAGTTAAACAAAGACTGAGGTGATCAAGTCAATTATGAGGGAATTTTAACCTAAAAAATTATCATTAAAGGCCATTTAGAACAGCAGTATCTCTCTAGCCTCGACAAGGTGAAAATTCAACAGCAGCATGTCTCATTCTGGGATATTTCAAAATTCAGCATCACGTAGTTGTCCATGGGCACCATCTCTCTTACAGAAACACTGGCATTTCTTAACGGAACAGCCTTGTCATGACTTTTCATGACCACCTTACTGACCATGACACAAGTTTCCATTTCTATCTACTTGCTTAAAAAAAACTCTGTAAGCACATTTTTTTCCTGGGTCATGCAAGGTAACAGGACTTCAGTATATCTGAAGAAAAAAAGCAGCAAAGTATGCTACGAAGCAGAATTAAAAAGAAAAAACAAAAAAGGGGTTACTAGGGAAAAAGTTACTTATTAGCACTATAATTCAGGCCAACCAATGGGGCCTGAATGGTACTTGTGTCCAGAACAAGTGAATCAGACTGCTGGCATAACATTGTAAAAGAGGCAGATCAAACAAAGCCTTTGAACCTAAACCTCCAAAGCACTTGGACAGTGACTGGAAACTCCTAGTTCTGATAAAGCCCCTTCTCCAGTTACAGGGGCTACACTTCAAGCACAGCAGCAGATTTTGCCACAGAAGTAAAACACAAAACAGAATTTCATATAAATTATATATAATCCTCTATAATTTAAGTATCTTGCATTCTCACATACAGAGTATCAGTTGGGCACATGGAGGAACGACACTTTCATCTTCAAAGGTTTATCATGAAGGGGAGCTTTAAACACCAAATTTTAGTCACCAAAACAAATCTCAACACACAAAATACACAGTTAAGCTTTCAGGAACCAGACCTTGCTAGTGTGCTGTGTAAAACCCAGCATTACACTGATTATTTCAAGCAAATTAGAAGACAGACTAACCTGTGGCTTAAAAAGAAACTTTGTGGAGTCAGGTCAAAACCTCAGGCGGTAGCAAAGAAAAGACAAACAAAAAAGGCCAAAGATTAAGCGTGAGAGGATAAATTAGTAGTAGAGGAAAAAGGAGCAAAAACATGTTAAGAGGAATTGGCATTACACTTCTTCCAAAAATGCAGTATTGCTGCGCTCATCTTATTTCTCATATACAGAAATGGTTAATAGTTATCTGCATCATTCCAGTTCAAAGCAAGCTACAAAAAGGAAAAGCGATAGATTGCAAATGAGCATCCCACTATTTTGGGAAAACTTAATGATCTTGACCTCCCCTCCCAAGAGATTCAATTCAACTGCTGTTAGAATCAGTGCTGCCTAGTCCTTTTTACTTTATTGAACATAAGTTTAGTTTAAGTTTGTTTGAAATGATAACTAATATAATTTGATGATGTGGCAACAAACTGGAAAAATGTGGATGTTTTCACCATAGATATTACCAAAGAATGCACGCAACACCGAGATTTACTTCTTATACCTAACCATCACTGAACCAGGAGTAACTTGTTATAATATTAACTGCTGTTTAGACAATTAATTCTAATTAGTAATATTAAAGGCATTCACATATTTATTTACTCATGAGGTGGAAGGGTTAGAAAAGAGTCTGTCCATGATATATTGATCCTCCCGGTGCTATGAAAAGAATGCTAAAAAAGGCTTTAAATATTTCTAAGTTTATTAATAAAACTCACTTTTTCTATCAGAAGTATTCCCTTTACATAAACAAAACACCAAGAACAGTACCTGTACCCATAAATAGCATGTTCATTTACGCAAGAGCTAATGTTTCCTTTCGGTTACCAAAAACTTACTTGCTCACCTTTCAGAAAGAGGTTTACTATGAATATAGGCACTTACATCAGATAAAAACTGCTTTCCAGTTATATAATAAAATAAACACCAATTAGTCATTTTAGTTTGAGAAACTCAGTACATTACAAAAATATTCATTTTATTCAAAGTTTTCTACAACATTTTAAGTTATACTAGTTCATACTTGTAACAGCAGGTTAGTAGCAGTTAAGTGATGAACTGCAATTATACTTTGTTGAGGAAGTGTTACAGACAAGACAGTTTATCATTAAACAGATTAGTAGCAAGTATTCAACAAATCTATGAGTTAGAGACAAACTTTGCCCTCTGAGAAGCTAAATGAAAAAGCAACAATAAAGCTTACAGAACTTAGCTCGTACAATTTGCCTTGAAGGCGGTAGATTGGTTCCCTGAAATAGCAAATTGCAAAAATGAAGTTTTATTTCAGAAACATTCTCTCATTCTTTTCAACTCCAAACAATTAACTTACAAACATCTGTTTATTATCTTTAAAATGAAAGGTTCAGCAAAGTCCTTTATACCGAAAGTAATCAAGTTTCAATATTTAATTCAAAATGCCAAGCTTTTTCTCCACTTCTTTAAAGAGAGCACATTCACAATTAAAAAATCATCCCTTTTATTTGTGTGTTTTTGAACAGTCAGATAATTGGTTGATTTTCCTTTATGGAACACTCCAAAGTGATGACGGTTGTTGTGTTTGACACATCTTCCGGCACAGCTAGATAAGAAGAAAATCTCTCCTTAGAGGGGAGACACTAGTCTTTGAAGCTATTTCAGTGTTTAGACCTTTTAGTCCAAACGATATATTACATCAAAAATGCCACTCATGCTGGTCAGGCTGTGAGCAACCATCACATCCAAGAAGTTAATGGATTATTTTAACTAACATCTCAAAAATAAGTAGCAATTTCCTGGTGGGAGGATGAGGCTCAATTTCTATCCCCCAAAAGATGACTAAGTTTTCAAAAAATGCTAGAACTTTCATCTACAACAGCAGAATAGGAGACTTTCTGAAATGTCAGGTTTATCATCTGAGGGATCTAAACTAAATGGTCACATTTTGAAAACCTTGACCTTTCACCTCCTGAGCACTGTTTGATCAAATTGCACATGAAAACATTAGGAGGATGTTCAATACTGGTAATTAATTATTCAAAATTTCATTTTCTTATTTTTACTATAATTTTTTATTTCCTTGTAAAGTATGTACTAATTCTGTAATATTTTCTTTCTGTTTAAGACTTTGCAAAACCCTCAAAGTGAGCAGAAACCCTCAAAGTTGTAGCATTTTCATCTCATAGCAAAAAGAGGACTGATCCTGTGAAGTACTGAGCACCCCTGGCCCACACAAAAGCAAAGAAAGAAACAAAGCTCAGGAGCACTTAGCATCTTGCAGAATCAATCCCATATTCTTAAGTGACAAAAAGAAACAAACAAGTAATTTCATTAATGAATCTCAGTGAAAATGCTAATTAATCTGAGACCATCAACCAGTTATTCTTTGTTTAACTTTGAGAAAGACGTATGGTACATAGTCAACATCTTCGTGAATTCAACTGAAAGTTTTCAGAAGAGGAAAGGCAATCCACTTTTGCTTGCCGAATTACCCCTTCACTGCTATTAAGCTGTGAACATGTAAGAACTAGTAAAACAACTATGACAAAGCACACACAAGCAAGTACTCACCAGCATTTTGGATTCTGAAATTCACAAGTTTGCAGTTAATGACATAATACATTGATGTGTAACATGAAAGATTCAATGCACTAAATGGTATGGGAGGGGAGACGCTAATCAGCAGTGCAAGCAGTAGCAGAAATATTAAACAATAAATGATGATAACAATGAAAGTCAGGTGGCTCTGAAAAATTCATTAAGACAAGGCGATGATGACGCATTTTGTGTATGTTTGAAGCAGAAAAGGTAAATGGTACACTTACAACAAATAAACGCAGCCAAGAAAACCAAACAGCTTGGATTAACTTGCACATGCCATTATCCATTCTCTGTTAGGTGCCTACCTGATTTCCCACTGCACTTTTGTTAACCTGACTGCTTCTTTGTTGGGCACTAAGGGAAGCAGAGGAAAAGAGTTATACTGAAGAAACTCGAACTAAGCCAGTACCCAAGGAATAGAGTTTAGCAGTAATAGTTACTTCTGATTCCAGCACAGAAAGCTAGAGTAACAAAGAAACACAGCAAAATTATTGCATATATGTGCATATTTCAATTACTTTTTCTTACAGTATAGGACTGCCTGCTTACATTTGCCTGTTTAGGACAGAAGGGACATGCACAGCAGTCAGCTCCTACTAATCATCTCCTTTGTAACAACATCCTACTTGGATTGGTAAAGGTTACTAAAAACACAGAGAAATTATGGCTCATGTGGGTAACTTTGGAAACAGTAGCCTCTATAAATATTCGAGAGAGACAAAAACCAAGCCATTTCTGTTATTTAGTGCAGTACAACAAAGTCCTCCCCTGCTGGAGGCTCCTTAATAGCTTTGTCTTGATGGTTTGTTTTGGATATTATTCTAATATTTATATGCACTTTGAGGGTGTAAATATAACCGATGGATGAAGCCATCGGAAAGCTGGTTCAAAATGCTGGAATCACATAAGCATAGAGCATATCTGAAATTAAACCATATTTAAAATATTTCACTCAATTCTTGAACTCTGGTAATCCCAGTTCCTGAAAAAAACACACTCCCATCTCAAAAACATACAAATTGCCATTAATTTTGAAAGCATTTGCATTATGTGGTGGTTTGTAAATGTTAGGCCACAAAATTAAAATATTGTTGGAAAGAGGAAGAAAAGCATTCACAGAGCAGGCTTTGGCTACTCAACCACCAGAGCAGCCACTGGTGACAGGAAGTTTTGTTTGGATTAGATTATACCATTTCTCCAGACATTGATTAACTGAAGAAAAAAGCATACAAGATCAGCTAGAAACATTGCCCTGAAAGAGTAAGAAATAAAGACATGCTTGGATCACAGCCTATGGGCCGATTCTGCAACTGTTTTGTGCACAGCTGCTGTTCCAAAGAATTGCTGAAGGACCAAACTCAACTCCGTCCAATTCTCATCCTGCCCTTCAGGTTATACTCTATCAAACCAGCAGTCCACATGCTGTGCATGAGAAGATCCACAAGGATGTTTATTCCATGCACCTATTACACTGGGCTTAGCTCTCAATCATCCAGATGCTTTTGACCAAACAACACTGCACGGTTCTGGTGCATCGTCTGAGTTGCATACATTTTGGTGCGTAATTATGATTAAACAACATGCACACAGAAAACATAGCACTAACCACTCACCAATTCTGATCTGTTGTTTGAGAAACACACGAGATGGCTTTAGGAAACCTAACTGCCATTCTTTTGGTTGTTTTTTTTTTTGTGGGTGTTTATTTATTTTATTTTATCACCTTAAGAAAGCTAATTAGATCACTAACATCATACTAAGAAACTCATGCCTTTTAGAAATAGTCCAGTAATTGGTTCCCTATTTACTCTTTATGTAGATCGAGGCATGTAGCTATGTCTGAGTTACACCAACTAGAAACAAACTCAATCCCAACATTTTACCACTTCTTCTGCTAAATAAGACAAACATCAATATTCTAAGATTTCACAATTTCATAACTATGCAAAGTTGTTCTAAACACTGGCATTCCTAAATCCTTCTCAAGTCAATTTACATTGCACTGTACCTGCCTTAGGCCCTGCAATGCCACAAGGTAGTTTGAAGTGTCTTGTGCTCTCATTCTTACGATCAAGATTCACAGGACTTATGCTTATAAAACACTGCAGTCACATGAGACAACTGGTTAGAAGACTCCACAAAAAAAAAGGAAACATTAGGGAATCTAGGGAATATGTAGTCCAGCATGTTTCGATACTGCAGAAGCCCATATGCTACCCAAAAATTATTTCATTTTCCAGTTCTAACATATTTGCTCTAACAGTAACGATTATAGTTTAAAATGTGTATTTTCTACTGTTTAGCTCGTAAATTAATATATTTTACATTTTAAATTGTTCTTAGTTATCCAATTTTTCTGTTCCAGTTGAGCACAAGTCAAAGATACCTCCCTTCCCATCAGTTTCAACCTATAGAAACACTTGCTTAAACCTATCAGTGAACTTAAGTGAAGAGCCATTTGTTACCTGTTTATACCCCGTGCACAGTGGCTGCGGATTTCTAGATCTCAACCGGCAAAAGAGGAAGCAGATTTCCCAAAAACCTGAATTTGGGCATTGCAACTCCTCAGAAAAGACACAGCAGTGAGGACCTCGGACTGAACTACAGGCCCCAGCAGCAGCATCCATGAGGGGGATTTTTCCAGGGGAGACACATAATGAAATAGCTCCAGATACACTTGGCATTCCAGAATCCAAAACTATAAAACATGGAAGGTTCCAACTTGACACAAGGAAAAGTCTTTTCACAGTGAGGAGAGACAAGCATTGGAACAGGCTGCATAGAGAGGCTAGAGAATCTCAGATTTTGGAAGTTTTCCAGATCTGATTGGACAAAGCCCTGAATAACCTGGTCTGAACTCAGCATTGACCCTCCTCTGAGCAGGAGGTTGGCCTATGTGACTTCCCAAGGTCACACCACACACCATGAATATATATGGGGTGTTTTTAGCAGGCTTTTTCCTGTCAGAAAAGGATGAAGAGAAGTAAATAGCAGGCAGGTTGTTATCTTGACCTCTAGAAGGCCAGCTACCATTCCTACAACATCCTGTCATTTGTCAAGAGAACTGATAAAGATATTGAGGACCTGCAAACAATTCTAGAGAAAGCTGCTCAAACCAAACACATAAACAGCATCTGGCTTCGCCTTCTCCCCTCTCAGTTTACTGAACTCCATGTTTTAAAGCCTTCAAGGCATACTGCCAAAGATGAGACCTCTCTTCACAGTGCTAACTAGAACAGGTCACAGTACAATACGTACTGTGGTGCCAAACTTTGTTGCCAGCATCCCACATGGATGAAACCTGTTGCGATTCGAAACACTGTTACGGCAAATATGGCACAAATATGACTGAACAAACATTTACTCTTCAAAGACTGAAGACATCTTTAATGTTTTTACTAGTGTCAAAACATTGGTATTGAAGTCCCTGAGTCACAAATTGCCGGAAGCTGAGGGAGAACATTCTGGAGAATATTCTTACAGCCTTTTCAATTAAGTGAGGAGAACGTCAAACCAGGCCCTGCGGGGCATTCTGCTACTATTATTCTCTACAGCCAAACAGCAGGCACACTTATAATTCAGTGACATCCATTACTCTGAGCAAAACTCTTTCATATGGAATTACAGCTCCCAAAACATGCATTAGCAACAATGTGGAAAGACCACCAATATTATACATTTCTGTGGTCCTAAAATGGATACAGCGAGGGCATTGGCTTGCCAAAGCTGTTTCCCAAGATGCGTATGATTCCAGAACTAAGATATAAGCTTCAGTGAAACCAGGCTTGTGAACTGGAGTGAAGAATCCCCTAACAAGTGGGACAGAGTTCAACACTGTGTATATTGAGGATTTTTGTATTCCTGCATGTTTGGGACTTTCTAGCTTGCACTTTCACTGTCATACTTCAGGACTTGTGTTTTGAACTTAGTTGTTCAAAAAAAAAAAAAAACAAACCACCAAACAAAAAAAAACCTGACAGTGTCTTTACAACAAAGTCTCTATATACATACTTTGCAAAGCCAATGAAGTCTTCATGGTTGGTGTTGATATAAGAAACCTGGATATCAATCAGCAGCAGCACCTATTAGGGGAGACAGGAGAGCCAAAAACGGGCAGGTAAGGTGGAAGAGAGAGATTGAGGAAAAGGAAGGGAGAAAAGAACAGAACTTTTGAGTTTTCTGCATTATTGAATATTGCTTTCATAATTGTTCAAGCCAAAAGCAACAATATTTTCCAAATCCCACCACTTCCGTTCGTGTGCTTGTTTAATAAGTTAGACTACAGAAGAGCTATTCCCTCTTCCTATTTTTTTTTTTCCTGACAGACCTCATTTTTCACTATCTTGGCCCTTGTCCACTTCATTAAGATCAATCATACATGGCCAGAGAGAGTTTAATAATATACAACATGGAAAACGTAGAGCTAGAATCTAAGTTAAGCACAATTCTATCTATTTGTAGCATTCCAGCCAAGCCAGCGAGGAACCTGAACCTTAAACCTAAAATCAGAGTACCTAAATCTTCTTTAGCTACTACACAAAGAAGTGACAGGTATCCTAGCCCTGGCCCAGCAAATGTACAGCCCAGGTTCTAGACAGTCATTCGGGTGCACACATCTGGCTTGAGAGATGGGCTAGTCAATGAAAAGCAGAATGAATGTTTGTGTACTTATCACTTGCCAGTCCTTCAATAGCCCAGAAACAGAATTTTATTCAAATCTGACAATCTAACTCAGCAAAGAACTTGCTAAGGTATCAGAGAAAGCTCACTCCCACCCTTGAACAGCTTCTTGAACATGCGTGAAACTGCACTTTCCTCCCATCTTTTCAGACTTCCATTTATCAGCAGGGAGTAACGAAGAAATCTATTGCTACCAAATGGTAGCATTTAATCGCTTCAAAGTGTACAGAGTTATTTCTGTACAGCTCCTCAAACACAGCATCACTCCCAAATTCTTCACAATTTCCAGAAGATATTAGGTGCCTCACTCAGAGCAAAAGATAGTGGAGATTTGGATTTAGCTCTTACCTCTGAATATATCCTCGCTAGTGTTTTGATTTATTAACGATAACTGCTAACAACATAAATAATTATGTGGACATGTGACAATAACCTATTTGACCAATTCTTGGCATTTACAGAAAGCTGGTATTTTGTACTTTGTTCTGGGAAATTGCCAGGTATGCGCACACAATGAAGAATGCAATAATAAGAAAAAAGACTCACTTAGAATAAGTAACTTGTATTTTCCAAATTTTGAAATAGTTGAGTGTGCTAACTAGAACTCCCTGCAAGTACAAGCACAGCAAATATAATTTTTTAAAAATTATTTTAAAGACTACATTCACAGCACACATTAAAGGAAAAGAAGCAGAACATGCCGCACAGCTCCCTAGCTTGCACAGGGACAGGACTAGAGAGCTAGGAGTCCAGAACAACTTAGGAGCTCTGCTAGCCCTTCTTGCTTCTTGCTCAAATGTTTCTGTTGTCACACTCTGCACTTTCCAAACAATAATTACTGTTTCAGTTTCCAGTGGATTTTCTCACATGTAATCTAAGCTTTGAAGTTTCCTGGATTTGGAGTGTTTAGTTGGGTGATGAATGTTCTAAACAAGTTTCTCTGAATTTTTTTTTTAAAAAACTTTTTTTAAACTTGAAGGAAAGCTTGTCACTCCCGCAAGAGTCTCAGTACAATTGCTTGTGGGCGTCACTGTAATTAGAACATGGGATGGGTACGTTAAAAGAAACTGGAAACAAAGTAGAAAAAAAGGCTGAGTATGTCTGTGTGTATTTGTTTAATCATTAATCGATTTCCCAGCAAGAGCTGTTGTGGCACAACTAAGAAATTGGCACGCTATGGCACACGAACAAACCAATGCTACTTTAAGCCACCAATCCTAATCTCTAAAGACTAGATTAGGGTTTTCTGTAACAATTCTAGTCTCTTCTGTCAAAGCTCAATGGTAGAGGAGCAATT